TGCTGCTGCTGCAGGAGAGGCTGACGTGGAACACCTTGGAGGGGGAAGCCACCCTGTCGTCCTGCGGCAGCTCCTGCAGCTCGCCGCCGAGGCTCTCCACCTCCACAGTGCTGCTGTCCGTCTCGCTGCGCCCGCCCGCCGCCTCCTCCTGCGCGGAACCCCGGGGCTCGGCCTCAGGAGCCGGCTCCGAGGGCGGGGCGGGGGGCGGCGACGGCGGCGGGGAGGAGGGCTGCGCCTGGCTCAGGTCCTCCGCGGTGCTCCCCCCACCCGAGGGAGACTCGGGCGTGGTCGGCGGCGTGTTGAGCACCGAGTTACTTCTGCTGCTCGGAAACTCCTGAAGCTTCTCCATCTGCTCCTCGGAGGCTTCRTCGTCGGGTCCAGCCTCCTCCTCCTCACCGGGCTCATCCAGACGGGACGGCACCGGTGGGGGAGGCGAATTGGTAGCCTCTGTGTCCGAGTCCGAAAACAAGTCTTTGAGAGTCTTCTTGGGCCACTGGGCCTGGATGCTGGACCACACATCCTTCTGTCCTTTGGGGCGAACCAAAGCCCGGTCCTCTGCGTTCCCGGACACTTTGGCCCGTTTTTCAGGAATCTCCCAGAAGCCACCTTGCCTCCCGGGTTTCTCCTTCAGCCCGTTGTACTTCTTTGAGGATGAACCTTTGGTTTTGGGGCGGCTTCGCTCGGTTTCTCCAGTCAGGTTCTCTGTCAGCGCCGAGCTTTCATCATCCGAGCTGCTGCTGGACGACGCCCCCCTCTCCCCTCCAGGACCGGCTCCCCGCTCCTCCAGCTTCCGGGGCAAGCCGCCGGGTAACCAGTCCGCGCTCCGGGTGTTCCGGGTCTTAGCTTTGGATTGTCTTTTAGGGATCCTCTCAGCAGCACCGTCTGATTTCCTCTTCCTGGTGCTCGCCTCTCCCTCTGCGTCCGGCGGCACCCTTCGCTTCGAAGCTTCGGCGCTTTCCGCCATCGCCGCTTCCTGGCTCCGCCCCGAAACCGGTTTGGACCCTTCGGAGGGAGCGCCGCTCTCCCAGCGCTCTATCTGGGGCGGCTCGGTTTCGCCTTTCCTGACGCTCGGTTCTTTGACGTCGTCCCCTTCCTCGTCCTCGTGCTCGCTTTCGTCCGTGGACATCTCAGAGGCTGAGGAGACAGAGCGTCCGTCAGCTCAAAGCACAAAGTTCAGACACAGATCAGCGTTTTGAGTTTAGGATTCATTGTCACATGCAGCTTAACAAGAGTCAACAATGCAATGAAACTCTTAGGATGAGAAGAAATAAAATTTGAAAAATTTTATTTAATAAAATTAAAATTTCATAATAAAATTTCAAAATAAAATTTGACACGCGCTATAAAGCACGTGTCAAACTCAAGGACCGCCAGGGGGGAACCCGCCTCAAAATATATATATATATATATTTTTTTTAACTTAACACAAAAATTGTTTCTTTTATCAATGGTAAACTTTAAATTTATGATTAAATGCAACAAAATAAATTAAAAAGGTGAAAGATAATAATTGTCCTGCACCTGAGCTGTTGGTTTTAAGTAACTGAACTGTCTGAAAATAAGCTGCTTTAAACTTTTTATTATTATTTTTTCCATGTACAGTGCCCTGAGATGACGTATGTTGTGACTTGGCGCTATATAAATAAAGTGAATCGAATTGAACTGAATCAAATTGAATTGAAAGTCAGCATCCACCTAAAACTAAATCTGCCATAATGCATACTAGCGACTCACTAGAAACTAATCAGTGAGTACAACTTTATTAGTTTTACTTTTAATAATATTTCTGTATTTTTTTCAGATTTAGTCAGTCATATGTAAAAAACACTGTTTAGTCAAAGTTTATTACAAATGCCCTTCGAGGGCCACCATAACGCTCATGTGGCCCTCGGTGAAAATGAGTATGACACCCCTGCTATAAGGAATAAAAATAAAAATTAAGACAATACAGAATACTAAATTCACAGTTTGCAGTAGATGCACAAAGAGTGAATAAAAAAATAAAAATTTAAGATATTAAATACAGTGTAAAGTGAAAATGTCGAACAGCAAATAACTAAATAGCAAAGAAAACAACAACAAAATTAGTTTATCTACCCTGCAGGCCRTTGAGGATGGAGGTAATTTCTATGGACTTGACCGGAGACTGCCCCTTGTCCTCGTCCTCGTCTGTCTTGGAGAACACGTCCTGACTCAGGCCGCATTTGGAGCGCGGGACACGGTTGGCGTTGGACGAGGGTCCGAGGACCTCCCCGTCGCCGAGCCTCTCCAACCGGTCCCGCTCCACTTTGTTCTGCCAGAATCGAACACAGCGGCCGTTTGACAAAAGCAGGCTCCCGAAAACAAACATTCATACATACAAACAAACAAACAAGCATACAAACAAACATACATTAAAAAAAAAGCAAACATACATAAAAACAAACATACAAACAAACACATAAAAACAAACATTCATAAAAACAAACATTAAAAACAAACATACATACAAACATACATGCAAACAAACATACATACAAACAAACATACATACATACAAACAAACATACATACATACATACTGTACATACATTAAAAACAAGCAAATAAACATACAAACAAACAAAACATACATACATCAAAACAAGCAAACATACAAACAAACATTCATACATACAAACAAACACATACATACAAACAAACATTCATACATACAAACAAACATACATACATACAAACAAACATACAAACAAACATACATACAAACAAACAAACATACAAACAAACAAACATACATACATACAAACATACATACAAACAAACAAACATACATACATACATACAAACATACATACAAACATACAAACAAACATTCATACATACAAACATACATACAAACATACATACAAACAAACATACAAACATACAAACAAACATTCATACATACAAACATACAAACAAACAAACAAACAAACAAACATACATAAAAATAAGCAAACATACAAACAAACAAACAAACATACATACATACAAACAAACAAACAAACATACACACATACAAACAAACAAACATACATAAAAACAAGCAAACATACAAACAAACAAACATACATACATAAAAACAAGCAAACATACAAACAAACATACAAACATTCATTCATACAAACATACAAACAAACATACATACATACAAACATACATACATACAAACAAACAAACATACAAACAAACAAGCAAACGTACAAACATACATACATACATACAAACAAACAAACAAAAAAATGGTACCTTTATTTTTTTGCGGTGCTTTATCTTCGGTACGTTCTTATTGGCGGGGCGCACGATCTTGTCCGCCTTGATCCACTCGTCGTATCTAAAAAACAAAAAACAAAACAAAACAAAAATAAAACAAAAAAATGWCAAGAGACGGGCACAAGTCTTCAACGTTTGGGTCACTGAAAGAAGCCAAGAAGATATTCTGACACCACCACCCACACAGACACCTGCGCTAGCTGAGACCGGTAAACGAAGAAGTCGTGTTTGGTGAAATGGTGTTTGTGTGTGTGCGTGGGGGTGGGGGTCGGATTATATTAGTGTGTGTGTGTGTGTGTGTGGGGGGGATAAAAGACAAACCTTAACGATGAAGAAAGAATATACACACCAGCCACCACACAGAGTATATTCCACAGCACCAARGGGCTACGTGGGTTCGTATGAGAGGAAATGAAACATCACACACAACAGAAACGATGCAGAGGACGACCCGCCGTCTTTAATAAGTTCTAGAGGACCACACCACAACACTGAAGACAATGAAATGCTGAGTGCACCAGTTGACCTCTGTGTCATGGTACCCTAACACTCCTCTTAACACCGCATTAACCCTGACCCACTGGGGAGGGGGGAGAGGGTTGACAGGTAGAGGTGAGTGTAGCAGCACTTGGTTTGGCCATTCAAAGACCCAAAGAGGTTCACACAGATCACATCAATCAGTGAAATCACTGCTTTCAGATTGGATTGGTTGAAAAGCTCAGCCTGTCTGCAGGTTTAGTTAAAGACAGACATCTGGGGGACAGACAGACAGGGGATTAGGTCCAATTGAGTCAGGAAGCTGGTTCTGCCACTAGATGGCCCAGTCTTCTCCATGATCAGAGGACTGACTACAGGACTGGACTGAATTTAGAGGGGATGCTGCAGGGACACCCTTCAGATGGTGACCCTGTGAGTTTAATAAGTTAAGAATAGTTTAAACTGTATAAACAGACACAAAAAACAAAAAGTGTTGAAGAATAAAAAACACAAAACCTCACTGAAATAATTTATCTAAATAATTTATGTAAATTATTTATTAAAATAACAGAAAATCAGTCGATGCTTTTGAATTTTTGATTGATTTTAATTAATTAAACAGGTTTTAACAAAAAGGATGAAACCTTCACCTGTCCTCAACTGTTCTGGTCCACCTGTCCTCAACTGTTCTGGTCCACCTGTCCTCAACTGTTCTGGTCCACCTGTCTTCAGCTGTTCTGGTCCACCTGTCTTCAGCTGTTCTGGTCCACCTGTCTTCAGCTGTTCTGGTCCACCTGTCTTCAGCTGTTCTGGTCTACCTGTCTTTAGGGGCTCTTCTGTTGTGTTTGTGTGAGTCTGCAGTTATTTCAGTGAGCTCTGTGGGTTTGTTTGTTTACCTGAAGAACGACAGTCTTTGTGTCTGTTTACACCTGGTTCCTGTTGTCAGGATGAATAGAGGGTGGTTTCTCCCCACGTCCTGTCTTACCTGATGTTCCAGCCACAGTAGTGCACCAGGTAGAGCACCTCTCCCCCCTCCACGTCTGCCTCTTTCACAGTGGCCTCGTACGTCTTCAGATTGCGGCCTCGCCCATACCTCACCTGCACCTTCATCCCCGGGGGGTAACACTCAAACTCCTCCCCTTCCTCCCCCTCCTGACTGCTGTCATCCCTGCAAGAAAAACAGTTCAGCACTTCCTGGCCCTAGGCTGACACCCACTCCCCCCCATCACACACCCACAYACACAAAAACACACAACTGCACACCACAAAAGCCCCCCGTCCCGCTGTCTACTGCTAATTAACAGGCTCCGCCCTCACCTGCCCTGTCCCATTACAACACCTTTACCTGTACAGAAACATTAGCTCCCATTAACCCAATCAAACTACAGGATAAACAACTGTTTACAGTAAACCAAGCAGTTAAACAGTACATGTAGTATTTAAGCAAATACAAAATACTTTTGATGGTAGTAACTATGAGAAATAACTAAGTTTATCTCAGCCTAAATCCACACGTGATGCTCGAGGTTCTCATTCATTCACACGCTGTGAGAAACAAAGCAGCCACAAGAAGGAGCAGGAGGGAAGRAGATGTCAGAAGGGGGGAGAGGGTGCGTGTTCTGGCAGTGCGGCGGGTGGGGTGGGGGCGAGGCCGCAGAGACCCAAAGGGGGTGGGGTTAGCACAGCGACATCTTTGCAGGTAGCAGCGGCTTAAAGCAGGTTTGATCAGAGCAGAAATCCCAAACAGCTCAGAGCCTCGAAATGAAAGGTTAGAGGATGCTTAAAGTAACACCAACAAAAACCACCAGGTTCTTCTTAGAACCTCAAAGCAGTGGTCTTCAAGCTTGGACCCCGTGACCCTGCAGGTTTTAGATGTCCCGCTTCAACACCATGCGTTTAGCTAGAGGGGCGCCCGGTTTTCCCACGCCATCTTTCAGCCGGCGATGCCGCAGGACGCCTTCAGGACACTGTGACGATTTTTGGGTTCGTCAAAGTTTTTTTTTTTTACACTATGTATATTTTGTAAACTTGCGTAAATTTTGGAAGCGGTCGGTGGTGACTTCAATTATTTTATGAAGCCAGAGGAAGACACAAAGAATAAGTTGCACCTGATAGAGGAGGTTGGAAGTGATGTTACAGCTTCAGCTGTTTGTTATTTTCAAAATCTCTCGTTCCATTCAGTCCCTAACTTTACGTAAATTTCATGAACTTATGTAGATCTCGTAAGTGTGCGGGTGACCACAATTATTTTAKGAAGCCAGAGGAAGACACAAAGAACAGAGGAGGTGTGAAGTGATGTCACAGCTCCAGCTGTGTTTTCAGAATCCCGGTCCATCCATAACTTCACAAAAATTTTGTAAACTCGTGTAAATCTTATAAGCGGTTGGGGGTAGTGTTGTAGTTCTCAAGACCACATTTTGTTGGTCTTGCCTCAGTCTCGGACATTGAAGACTCTGAATTCTATTTCAAGACCAGTAAAGACCACAACTGTGGAAATATCACTAACTAGAACAGAAATAGCCTTTATTGTCCCACCGAGGGGAAATTCAGGTGTCACAGCAGCATCAGTACAGAGTTACTCACTAGTTACTTTACAAACTATAGATGGTACACAAAACAAAAATGAACACTGACTAGCAATGATACGACTACTAATAATAAAAAATAAATATGAAGAATTGTGCAAGAATAGGAAACAATATGTTCTGTTTTAGAGACAGTAGACTATCAGAATCTGACATTAGGAATCAGAAATTGCCTGTTTTCAGTGCAAAACAATCTCAACAGACCAAWAACTGTAACGTGAAGTATCACAATGCAGACTATTGTCAGATTATTGCCCAGATTATTGTCCAATTTAATAGTTAACATCTTTGCTTTCATTAGATTTAAAATATAGTTACTGATTACTGATTCAAATTCAAACCTGACTCGTTGCTATTTATGTATTTTTGTTACTGGATGTCACCCATCCCCACCCACCATCACTCGCACGCAGCACCAGGAAAGTGAACCGTGGATCTCTGGCAGTGATAGAAGATGTCTGCAAAGTTTTAAGTAAAACAATTTGGCTACATAAAGAATATCGTAAAACAACAACAACCAGGAGAAAGCCTACAGCACCTTGWAAATTCTGCAGTGCTTCACTTTCAGAGACTGTGAGGACAACGTCAAACTTTTACCATCACTTAAGTTAACAATCTGCCTCTGTAGCAAAATTCTTTCTTCTGCCCTCACACAAAGATTTTGTCAATATTAGCTCTATATATTAAGCTAGGACACTAGTTTTTTTTTTCTGGTCTTGGTCTTGACGGTCTCTGGTTAGGTGGTCTTGACTACAACRCTAGTTGGGGGTGACCTCAATTATTAAGACAAAGAATAAATTGTGTCAGATCGAGGAGGTGGGAAGTGATGTCACAGCTTCAGTAGTTGTRTGTTGTCACAATCTCTGGTCTCGGTCAGTTCGTAACTTTTTTTACGTAAATTTCACAAACTTCTGTAAGCTTCGTAAGCACGAGGGGGGCCTTAAGGTGTTGACACCTTCTTACAAAAATCCGACCTAAAAGCCTAAAACACCTGTTTAAAATAAAGGATTGACAGGCTGATAAAGTCGATGTCATTCTGAACAGATGGTTTAAATATGAATCAGGTGTGCTGAAGCAGGGGAGCAGCTAAAACACACAGGAAAGTGGGTCAGAGGAACCTCTGCCCTGTACTCTCTGTTTACACCATCAAAGACTTACACTTTGTAACTCACTCTTAAAAATAACTTCTATCTATTAAAGTTACAGCTGAAGAAAACACCAACTCTGCCATGAGACTACTTAATAAACTACAAATAAATAAACAAACATCTACAAAGTCACATCCAGATTACAAAGCTGTAAACATCAAAGAGGTGCGGTGCTTATCAGGAAACATCAGAGCCGACCCACAAACCGACACGCTGACACACAATCTGTCGTCTCAAAACAGCAAAACAAAACCACACAGTTTGGTCTCCAACTGGAACTACAGAAAAAGAGCTCGTCTAAAAACCCTTAATGAGTCGAAGCGACCCCCCACTGAGCTGGACTTTCTCCTCAGTCCTTTTATTTAACCCAAATCCACAATCCTGACTCTAGAGGTCAAACAAGCACAGATCCAAACTGAAGGTTCTGATCAGGACACAAGGGAAAATACTGGGGTGTTTGTGTAAAAAGTAAATAAACTTGATAAGTTTACTATGCTCCATTGAGAATATTTTTTTACTTTAAGTTTAACAAATTATTTAATTCACATTTTATTTACAATTTACACATTTTTTTCCCAAATTTGGGTCTGTCCAAACAACTGTCCTCTACAGATATTAGCATCTGAAGCTCTGTTTTACAGCTGAAGGGTTAATAATGCCTCGGTGACAACATTCAAACACATGGAACATTTATTAAAAGCTGAACAGAAGAGAGAGAGAGAGAGAGAGGGCGGCTCGCCACGGTTTAACAATCTGAAACAGAGAGCCGGAGAGCGCGGCGTGACAGGCCAGGTGAAAGGTAGCGGTCAGGCTTAGCTGCTCTGAGGCGCCGCCGCCAGCTGATGCCGACCAGAGCCAAGAAAATAATTAGAGAGCAGAGGGCAGCGAGAAGTCGAAGAGGAGAGGGGAGAGCGCTCCACTCTCTGGTTAGCAGGTAGAGGTGGGTTGTGGGTATTAGTGTCATTAGATTCGCTTCAGGTCTTATTAACATCTAAACACAGCTTCACCGCCGGATGTCCTGCATGAGCTTTGTGCACCAGGACGAGGATCCACCTACCCGGAGTTGTCCTTGCTCTCCTGCTCCTCGTCCTCCTCCTGTTTGACATCGTTCGGTCCGAGGAGAGACGTCGACGACCCCTCTTCCGCATTTCCCTTCGAGAGACCGCCGTCTTCCACGTCGTCCTCCTCGCCGTCTTTCCGTTCAGATTTCGACGACTCGGACTCCGTTTTGTTTTGAGGCACGTCAGGTTTTTCTTCCTGCAGAAGTGGGAGGAGCCACTTTAGGGTGGGGCAGAAACATTTAGAGCAAAGAGCATTTAGGAAGAAGCACCTTGCAGATGGTGGACGGTGCATTGCAAAGTTCTCCATCCAGCTGGGTCTTCTGCTCCTCTGAGCTGCACGCAGGAGGAGCTGCTCCTGCTCCTCCCTCCTCCTCGGACTTCACCTCTCTCTTTGGACTTTGCTTCAAAGGCAGGTCCATCTTGAAAGTGATGGCAGTGGAGGTACAGTAATCCTCAAAGCCATATAAATACCTGCAAGAGAAAACATTTTTCAACTTAACACAGAGTCTGATGACTGCTGAAGTTTACTTAAGAAGCTACAAAGGGCAAAGGGCCAGTTAAAAGTAGCAAAGGACTAGTTGAAAATGGCAAAAGACAGCTAAAAGTTGCAAAAGACCAGCTTAAATTAGCAAAACGCAGCTACATGTAGCAAAGGACCAGCTAAAAGTAGCAAATGACTAGCTAAAAGTAGCAATGAGCCAGTTAAAAGTGGCAAAAGGCAGCTAAAAGTAGGAAAAGACAGCTAAAAGTAGCAAAGGACTAGCTAAAAGTAGCAAAGAGCCAATTAAAAGTAGCAAAGGACCAGCTAAAAGTAGCAAAGAGCCAGCTAAAAGTAGCAAATGACTAGCTAAAAGTGGCAAAATGCAGCTAAAAGTAGGAAAAGACCAGCTAAACATAGCAAAGAGCCAGCTAAAAGTGGCAAAGAGCCAGCTAAAAGTGGCAAAGAGCCAGCTAAAAGTAGCAAAGATCCAGCTAAAAGTAGCAAAAGGCAGCTAAAAGTAGCAAACGTCCTGCTAAAAGTAGCAAAGAGCCAGCTGAAAATCACAACAGGCCACACACAAGAGTGGAAAGAAAAGCTGTAAAATAAAATGTGTGCTCATACTTGCGGTAAGCACATTTGACGTTGTAGCCAGCAGCTGAGTTGAGAATAGGGATGCCCAGGTCCTGGTAGACCTGCTTCCAAACGGAGCCGCTTTCAATCTGCTCAAAACAAACAACAGATTCAGTTCGTCTCAAATAAAACTCGTGTACTCAGGGAAGAATCACAGCTGAAGTCAGACCCACGTTGTCAAAACCTCCCAGTTTGTGAACCAGCCTGTAGAGCTTGAACAGGTTCAGGTTCCTATAGCCCAGAACCGGACGCTTGTTGATGGGAGTTCCTGCAGAGGAGGAACAGATACTTGAAATGAGATGAGAGATAAAAGCATCAGGTTTGAGTCTCTGTCCTGCACAGACCTCGGTCCTCCATGAACTTGTAGAGCTGCTGCAGGAAGTTCTCCCTCTCCTCCGGGAACGGCTCCACCTCCTCCTGTGGACAGAACAACAGCAGATCAGCCGAGGAGCGTTTCCACTCAAAGACTCCATGCTGAGAGATGTGGGCTCCACCTCCTCCTCTTCACCGCTGGCGTCCTCTTCCTGCTCCTCTTCCTCGTCCTCGTCCTCCTCCTCGCTGCTGGAGCTTTCCTCTTTCACTTCAGTTTTCCAGGAGCCGGGGACGAGCTGCTTCTGCTGAAACTCCAGGGCTGCATCGAGCGCTGACAAGACACACACAAAACTCTGTGATCGCACCGGGCGAGGGGGCGGGGCTAATCGCACCCCGCTGCCCCTCTGCTCGTTAACTGGAATTAAAACTGCACGACAAAACAAAGCCAAGTTTAAAAACAGCACCGGAACTTCAATAAACCCCGTTTTAGCTTCTGAAAATCTRTTTGAAATGACAGAACTGCAATCTGACAAACAAATATAAAAGCTAGTCGACTGTTAAAAAGGCTCAAAGGAGCATTTAGCCACAGGTGGGTTTAACTAGCATCCCACCGCCTTGGCAGATGCTCGCTTCACGCTTTCTGTAAAGCCCAAAATATCACAGTTGTGCGTCAAACACCTGCAAACAGCAAGGCTGAGACGATGCAAAGTTGTACTCCTATCTGTAATTATAAGAGCTCTGCAGCAGGAAAATACAAAAAAAAAACAGAGGGGTGGGGTGCACAAAAAGCCTGGTGATGACTTTAGATAAAAATAGACTGGATGACAACAGGAGCTCACAATCGGTCTCACCTGGTTTGAGCCCCGCCTCGGCTTTCGGAGGACAGTCGCTGCTCATCTCGCGGACGTCCTTCCGCAGCACTGTGTAGCTGAAAAACAAGACCGACTCCATTAATGGGACTTCCTGTGAAAATTCAAAGTGAATGCTGAAAGTTTTACTAAAGAAGCTGAAAAGCTGTAAATGTGAGTAAAATTTGAGCAAAAAAAATGAACAGTAGGAAGATAGCAAAAAAGAGTAAACACATCTGAAAGAAACAAAAAAAGGAGATAAAATTAGCAAAAAGAAGTTAAAAGTATATGAAAAAAATTAAAAGTTACAGAGGGGAAATTAGTGAAGTTTCACATAAGCAATAAAGGAAAAAAAGAAAAGAAGTAATTGTTTTGAAATAGCTTATAAAGCTAAAACTAGCCTAAAATAGCTTTAAAAAGTAGCTGAAATTCTAACAATGAAGCAGAAAAAGCATGTTAGCTTCCATACAAGGAAGAACAAAAKGTGAATTGAGCTGGGGAAAAAAACAAATTTAATTAGCTGAAATTAACTAAAAAGTAGCCACAAACACAGAAAACAGCTGAAATATTTGGAAAGCAGCCAAAAGAAACATCAAAGCTTAAACTAGCTGAAAGAAGCATTAAACATTTTTTTAATTACGATAGCAGAAAAGGTCAGGATGAAAGCTAAAAAAGCAAACAAAGTTAAAATCAACAAAATAGAAGCTGATGGAAGCTGAAATTAGCACAAAGAAGATAAAATAAAACAGAACAAGAACAAAAGGTAAAAAGTTAAGTAAATATTTAAGAATATTTTAAAGGTTGTTTGAAGATGACTCGTTTCATTTTAAATGGAAAAAAAAAAGTCAGAAAAAGCTAAATTTCTTAAAAAGTATAAATTGCTGAAATACCAAAAGTCATAAGGAGCTGAATGTTTTAATGTATAAATTGTTAAAATAGCACAAAAATTGTAAAACAACAAACATGCCAAATACGGAAGAAGAAAATGATCCCAACAGTGAAAGCTTTAGAACCTTCAGAAGCTTCCATACAAAGAAATGTGCACAAAAAAACCCAAGAGATAAGTAAAGTAAAGCCAAACGTAAAACAGATTTCTGTTTCTGTCAGAACAGCAGGAGGTTTTCCCTCATCCCTAAGCTGAAGCAGCAATGACAGCATCCTGAGCCTCCATGCTTTACATCTTTACAGCATCTGGGTGAAATGCTGGCGATTTGGCAGCTCGATGGATCAGCAGAGCCTGGAAGCAGGAAGCAGTGAGAGGCTTGGCTGCTGTTCAGAACAGACTTTTCACTCTGGTGTCTACAAACAGCTGAGCCGATCCGACGGGTCGACCGTCATGGAGGGAAGTTTTAAAGCAGTGAAAACTAACTAAAAAAAACAGACCGACATGCTGCCTTTCATTATTTAGACAGACTGTTTTTTGCTGAGAAATAATAACGTTATGTGTTACAGTAAGATGTAACCTTAGCTACTTGTAGCTGGCCCTTTGTTACTTGTAGCTGGCCCTTAGCTACTTGTAGCTGGCCTTTTGTTACTTGTAGCTGGCCCTTAGCTACTTGTAGCTGGCCCTTAGCTACTTGTAGCTGGCCTTTTGTTACTTGTAGCTGGCCTTTTGTTACTTGTAGCTGGCCCTTTGTTACTTGTAGCTGGCCCTTTGTTACTTGTAGCTGGCCTTTTGTTACTTGTAGCTGGCCCTTGGCTACTTTTAACTCGCCCTTTGCTACTTGTAGCTGGTCCTTTGCTACTTGTAGCTGGTCCTTTGCTACTTGTAGCTAGCGCTTAGCTACTGGTAGCTGGAACTTAGCTACTTGTAGCTGGCCCTTAGCTACTTTTAGTTGCTTTTAGCTGGTATTCATTTTTTGAGTATGTAAATGTGTTTTGCTTAGCTAAAATTAAAAGCATACTTTAACTTCACTTTTTTAAACATCTAAAGATGCAACAAAATAAAAAAAACTAGAAATAAAAATAAATTCTAGTAAATGAAATAATAAAGTGCTGCAGCTTTATCAAGCTGAGGATGAAGTCTTGACAAAATATGATCTTTAATTTTTAAACTAATTTGTACTTTTGTCTGAAACGTCCTTAAATCGTCCTCAGAACTCGTAGAAGGACGACTTTCATCCTCGTTATTCCAGGATTTTAAAGCAAAAGGACTGCGGGGCAACAAAACTGAAAGTCTCATTAGCAGTAATATAGATTTTTCCTACTTCACACAAAGACACCCACCCTGAATACACAGAGCCGATCCAATAAAGTAAAATCAAGTTACCACAGAGCGCTGAGGAAAGTTGATATAAAGTATTTAATCTGCAGGAAAATCACTGCAACAAGTAGAAGACTTGAACTTCTGACTCCTGATCTCTCCTCAGCTGTTGGTAGCAGGTGAATCTTTAGCTGATGATTTCTACAGGAGCTCTAATGAATGAATCAAGGCTGTTCTGCCACTCAACACAGATAACGTCTTGAAAGGAAGGGACAAACACCGTTCAGTTTCCTCCCACACACAGACTGTTAACCTCCAGCAGAGAGAACTTATTTCTTTACTACAGATAAAAACCTGGATCTGAGCTGAGAGAAACTCCACTATCTCATCTTACAGGTTACAAACAAACAAACAGCTCCTTAAAACAAACCTCAGTAAAAATTATGTTTTAATCTCTTTTCAAAAGAGACTTTGGTTCATCGTAGCATGAAGTAAAATTCTTTATTTTGTGGTTACAAACACTAAAATATCAGCAACACTGAGTCATAACGACAAAAGCAACAAATCAGTAGAGTGGCAGAAAAAAGTTGGTAATAAAAACGTACAACTTTCCATCCTTGAACGAGCGCACAAAGACGTTGTCCTTCTTGGCGGTCACGTCCTCGTGGCAGTCTGGGGAGATGACCTTCACGCACAGAAACAAAAAAAGACTAAAGGTTAGATAAGAATGTGACGCTTCGCATCAGACCCAAGTGGAGCTGCCGTACATTAATTAAAACATTTGAAACAATTGAACTTTGTCTAAAAACAATAAATAAATACCTTATTTACAGGCCATTAATATCAGAAAATGTATTCATAAAGAAAGCACTTTTTTGAGTAGTAGCTACAAAAAACATGATTTTGAGCAAAAACACAATTCTAACAATACACATATAAAACAAACAGTACAAATCCCTTTGTGATAAAATACTAACGCAAAACAAAACCCACCAGTAACGTCACTTATAGCAAAGTAACATGAACTGATATCATCACTTTTTCTAATAAAACAAGTCAGTTTCACCCCCAGAAAATCAGATATATAAATATGTGGACAAGAAGAGAGAGAGGACCTCCACAGGAAAGACCAATAAAAAGTTTTAATAATTTGTTTAACCAACAGCTGTAACATTTGCCAAGAAGAAGCTAAAGTTTCCTCTTTAGAATAACCTAAAAACTGGATATAGAGCCAATATCAACAAGTTATCCTGATCAGGAAGACAAATGAAGTGAACCACTCATCTCAGGATGATCCAGGTACTACATTCTGAAAATGGTAACACTTTATAATACAGTAACTACACCTCATTTAATCTTATTTAATCATTAATAAATTGTTACTTAACATGATGATAAGCTAAAAATTAACACATTTATTATTAATTTACCCATAAAGGGTAATTCCAAAACCAACATACTTGTTTATTCGTGTTTAATAATGAATTAACTATTCTATATATATGTAAGTAAATGCTCATATAAATGTACTTTCACACCAGGTGTTAAACGTGTTAATAGTTAGAGGATGTAACAAATACTTAGAAAAGTTCACAAAATGACTTTTTCTTTTCGKTCATCCATAAAAACAATAAAAGATTAATTAAAAAAGGTAAAATAATTGAATGAAGAGAGTGCAGAAAAAAGAAAAAATCTTATATCTGTGTCTTAAAAAAACAACTTTAAACAAACAACTTAAACTTTAACAGCTGCCTTAATTACTGATGCACTGCAGGCTTTGTATAAATACTACAAGCATCTAACACATGTTGTGAAAGTACATTTACACGAACATTTACATACTTATACACAGTATATAGAGTAGTTAATTCATGAGTTACTAAGCATGAATAAACAATGGGTATTTATGGGTAAATCTATAATAAATGTGTTTAATTTATAGCTTATTAAGTCTGACTCAACGATGTTTTCAAGGTTAACGAAACATTCATTAATGATTAAGTTAGACTAAATAAGGTGTCGTTATAAAGTGTTACAACCAGAAAACCAAACATGAGTCACCCCAAAGCATCTCCACCCCTCTGAGGTGTAAACTATGATGGGCCACAGCGGGCCGTCCTTCTCTGGCCCGACACCGGGAGGCAGCACTGAGCTCAGCCAAAAACAACAAATGCA